AAAATTAATAAAAATACTTATTTCAAATTTCAAAAGCCAAAGTAAATTTTATATTGAAACAGATTTTTTTTTTAAAGGTTTACGACTGAAATACAAAAACAATTAATACATGACGCCTCCTATTACTGTATACATTACAATTCATAAATATATAATAACCTCAGAGACGTACAACATACGTACATACATATGCACTACCTATTGTGACAGATACACAAGCTAGACACAAGGGTACACGTGCCTACGTACACCTGATGCAGAAAGTGGCACACGGTGTCAGCAGAGCAGGTGTAGTGCGGAAGTTATTTGGCGAGGCCGGCCCGCGCGCGTCCGCTTCCAGATTACACGCCACACACCGCCACTCTCACCCGCGTACGATAAACACTTTGACACTCACGTGTACATTACATGTGTATATCCTAAGTACACAGTGTGTACCTACTGGTGACATAAATATCATCTTGTCTCCAGGTACAGTTTATAGGGAACTGAGACCTTGCACGTGACTGCAAATTGGAATGCTTATACATATAACTGATTGGGCAATCAAATAAAATAAGTAAATTCAAGTATTATATTGTACAGTGGAATTGTGTTACATTATGTATTGTGTCACGTTGTATAATGGAACTAAGTGCCGTAAAATGCACCTCTGCCTACCCGTTCAGGGACAAAAGGCGTGATGTTATGTCTAAGTAAATTGATGCTGAAAAATAATAGAATGTATGCTGATAACTGATTTGTTATTTATGTTTCAGATGCATAGAACTCTACTAAATATTACTCTACGAAATCACTTGTAGAACTAAATGAATATAAAAGCAAATACTCACTAGAGTTTTATTAACTACGGCAATATGTAACACTTAATAAAAATATCGTAATTACTTTCAACTCGCTCTGAAAACGAACAAAATTAAATTATTTATTGATCAAAACAACATGGTAACCACTTTCTCTCGCACCGTTATGTCACAAATACAAATTCGTTTTAACAAATCGAATATATTTTTCATATTACATTAATGCTAAAGGTATTCGCGTCTCAATCTCGTTTGATCTCTTTTTTCAATCCAATAAGTATACGAATAAGGGATATCATGGATTACGTATGACGACTATATTTACTGATATGTTTTTAGCATCGATAATCTCGCGTTTTGGAACCTTAGACCTGGAAAGCCTGTAATGTAGAAGTTATTTTAAACGTATTTGAGATATTCTAGGTTGTGATAATCTTGGTGAGTCTTAAAAACCTTCACAAAACCAACGGCTACAAAGTCTGTGAGCAATTAAAAGGAGTGCTACGAAATTGCTACGAGTTTGCTACGAAGTGCTACGATCGCCAAAATCACTCTACTATTGCTACGAATGCAAAAATCTTTGACCAATGCCAGCAAATATTACAAGTATAACTAGTTTAAATGTTGTAACATAGATTTATAGTAAGTTTTAATGATTATTCAATAGTGAAATGGTTCAGGCAAAAAATAGGCATCGACTCATACTCCGTTTCGACTGCCGGGCAAGGGGTCTTGGGTTCGATTCCCGGGTCGGGCAAAGTATTAGTGGGTTTTTAAATATTCTCAGTAGTAGCACGGAGTCTGGAATTGTGCCCAGTATATGGTAATAGGCTCACCCCCTATTACATGGGACTCATAACATAAATAGTGAAAAGTAAATAAATAGTGTGTTACATTGTACAGTGGTATAATGTGCACCTCTGCCTACCCCTTCGGGGATAAAAGGCGTGATGTTATGTTCTGTTACTCCGTTTTATCCACGTTTCAGTTAGGTAACATAGACCTAGTTTCTAAGAATATGAAGTACATATAAGTATGTATGTATCTATTGAATATCAGCGACACGTGATCTCTGTATTATGGAGCTCCTTCTATTTGTGGGGATTGAAAAATGTTTGGTGTAGCCGGTTGTTAGGCCCCAAGATTGGGTGACGTAATGATGGTGATTTAAAAAAGACGTGCCGCATACTCATACTTTAAGACCACAACTAGAGGTTTTAGAAACTTACCTGAAAGACTTTTACTGCATTTTATTGTTACGTAATTTTTATCCTATTAGTATTTAGATTTACGGCTGATTTTTTTAACGCCAGATAAATTTTAACTGAGGAATAACTTTGAATATCACCACTCGACACTGGCAGTATAGTCGATAACACCGGTTTGTTGTCGTTACAGACTCAGTTGCCAAAGAAGAAAAAAAAAACTGCATATTTGACAATACTTTGACTTTTAAATGTCAATGTTATTCTACAGTTAAGAATTTACTGTTGATTAAAGAATTGGCCATTAAGTGTGTACATATATATGTACATATAAAAAATGAATGTCTTGTATGATTCAAAAAAGGAGACGTATGCTAATTGAGGAGAAAGTAAAACAACTTGCTCAAAATATTTGTTAAATCCTATCTCATAACTGTACGTTTTCACTTACTTACAACCGAATACCTAATCATATGAATTAAATACTTCCAAATTTAAACATATTCATTTATATACACCCAAAACGTATTTAATCCTCCCGCTATCGCACCTTCGTTATGCCATTTCGGTCGCTGAATGCACGGTGTTGCATTGATAACTCGAGCTCATTTATTCACAATGTGGATCAATGTGGCTAGTTCTTGTGTTATGCAGAACAGCTGGAAAACCCTTGGAGAAATCAGGTTTTCTCACATACGTTGTGTGATGTGGCTAGACTTTTTATATTAACACGTCTATATTAAAGCCACAAAGTAACGGTGAATAAAAAAATGCTTATATAAAACTGGGGCATTATTGTTGATGATTAATTTATAACCTTGAGTTATTTGAACATTGGCTAGAAAATAGAAAACTCTTTTTAACTATGCATTTTTTACAGGTTTTCTTTTGTCTATAAAGGTTAACTTTTATAACTTTTATAGTCAACTGTTTAATGAAAAATTATTTATCAAATTCGACATTCCATAGTAAAGCAGAAAGTCTCTCGGTACACATAACTAGGAGAGGTTCTGGTTTTGTTCCAAATCGCCATCACTCCGAACCTCTGTGTATTATTTCTGAGGTCACGTGTCTGATAGCTGTCGTGCCAACCATTTGCGAATGCCACCGAGGTTCGAACCTTATAAATATATCCGCGCAAAAAACTGAAGTGCGAATGAATGGAAATTTATTGGAGAGTACTCACAATATACACTGAAACGTGTAGAAGATTGTGCTTACTATATTTTAGATGTATTTTTAGAAAAAGTTGTGCTATTTTATCACCTTTCATATTATGTGCCATTTCTATTTGAAAGCTACCTCGTTACACAAAGTTGATCGTAGCGCTACGTGCGTAGCAGTTCGTAGCACATTTGCTACGCGTTGCTACGAGCGATAAGTTTGATTATGTGAGCAAACTTAATATAATCTTATAACGATTACTACATAGTTTATATAACGTTGTACATATTATCGTATTGTTAGTTTCAGAATCATTTCAGGTTTCATTTGATAGAAATCGCTAATGGAAATCTTAGATGATGTTACATAATGGGACGGGGATGGACCAAAGTGGAATGAAATAAAATCTTTCGCTTTTGTGATTTGTAATATGTACCTTGACATTGGTTTATTTATTATACGTCTATTATATCATTAGTACGTAATAGTTGTAGTTTAAGGGTATGACGATGATAACTATGTATATTATTTACTGAAAAATGCAAATGTAATTATCGCAAGCATCTGAAAATGTTAAAGTAAACGAATTAATAATACGTTCGATCGGCGACTGAGTAATAAAAATTGGTTTCAATCAATCTTCACAAACGAAATGAAATTGGATCTTTGTTTAATTGAACTGTAAAATGTTTTGAAATTTTACGATTTCACCGGTTTAAAGTTTGGAGTAAATATTTATCTTCGTGTTGAAAGCATTTATAAATAGTCTAAGTTTGTCATTATCTGTTACATGTGACAATGACAAGGAAAACTAATCAATAGTTTAAAGACTTTTAAGTGTATCAAGAAGTCGTAATTGAAGTGACAGAATTATAGTGAAAAATTAACATACCTAATTATCCTGACTTGAAAAAAAAAACTAAAATACAATACCATCACTATATAACCACTGGTCGAAAAACGCAATACATCATACACTAAAGCGATAATAACTTCTAAAATCAGTGTAATTAATAATATTATGAACGTATATGGCACCGCTCCAAACACAAGACACATGATAGCAGTGCACATAGAAATCGAATAATTTTTCAACACATTCTGTTTCAGTGCACATACAAAATGGCGGCTTTTGGTAATAGCGAGCTATAGCTCAACGGATTGAGAAATCCTATTAAGAATAAGAGTGGTGAAGCTACGTCGCAGGCCAGAGTCGAAGCAATCAACCAGAGCCTTAGGGATCGGTCCATTTGGACGCTATTGTTCTGCGGACAAGAACATTTTGCATTTCTGATAGCTGTTCTACCTCACCTGTGTTATGGAAGTAACTTAATTCATAGTTAAAGTTTTATAGTGAAATTATATACTGCAATGTTTTGATTACCTGTTTGATCTCATCTACCTCTTTAGTAATCGACTTTTAGATAGTTGATTTTCTTATTAAAAATTAAATATTTTTTTTATTGAAATATAGTAAGTCTTCAACCAAAATCCTATGGAAAAGAACATGTTGGTTTAAATTACAAAAACTCTCTTTCAATAAAACCATGTCAATATGTCTTAGTACATGCTTTCAACCATTAACATTTAAGACAAAACTTTAAAACGATACAAAAAAACAAATAACTTATTTCGTGGTTAGTCTTCCGTTGTATACGCATGCGCGCAGACTCTAGACGGCTGTTGATGCCGCGGGCTGGCAGCGCGCGAACCGCCAACAAAACGCTGGCCCTCGCCGCACGCCGTGCGCGCAAACACACACGCACCCACCGCGTATAAACATATACCCGACATAAATTACGTGACAACATACAACCATCTAACAACAATGCTGATCAATTACCTCATCTTGTTAACCATCAGGTAAGTACTTCTATAAATTAATTAACTTTCAAACTTCCTTGAAGCTTTGTTTACTTTCTGTTTTATAACAAATTAGGTAATAAATTTGCCTTCAATATGAACATTTTTGTATAACATGGGATTAAAAACTTAACAAGTGAAAAGTGTATGTTTTAACATAATTGTGTCGATATATCTCTGCTTGCTTAATCAATGAATTTGAAATACAGTGTGACGTTACATCTTATATTTTTTATACTTTAAACATATAACATTTTCTTACGCAATAGATAAAATTGCGTTGTATTACTTATATACATATCTATGACAAATTGTTTATTTGTATGCCGTATAATGAATACGGATTGTCTTTTTAACGAACAACCCTCGTCAAGTGTCGCTCTAAGGAGGTTTCATTTCCACACGCGTTGACTTATAAACAAAATACTTGTGTCGTTTGATGTTGAAGTTCACGCCTAATTAGTTACGAAACAAAACGTTGTATGGGGTAAACAAGGGACTAATATTACACGTTTTATTATTACACTTGCTTTAAATTATGATTAAAATAATGTGAAGAGCCTTGGGCTTGTAGTCAAAGGTAATTTCGAGATTGATTGTCAATCTGCTTTAAGTAGCCGTGATGATGAATGCTCATAGATTCTCCGTAGACAAAATCTTCTTCCAGAGAACAAATTGGTTCAGTTTTTTTTTTGTGAATGCGTAAGTGTGAGTAGTATATGAAAAACTATATGCATACATGTTTACAATACATTTTTTACGATAATAGCTAATCGGCACTTTTGATACGTACTGGTATCTCGTTAAGCTGTAAAGCATAGAGCTTCTCATGCCTATTTAACCAACCACCCCTAAACTATCACTTAACTAAAAGTCACTTAGTGTGACGTAGCACCTAATCCCTTACTGCTAATAAGTTGTGGGGTTAGGTGTCACTTATAAAAATATTTCGGTGGTGAAAATCAAAATGTTGTTTAAAATCACCCATCTTAGGGATTTTTTTTAAGGGGGGAAAATCATCGAATCTCTGCTCTCGCCTGGGTGAGGCGGGAGGGAGTATCAGACTCTTACTGACTAAAAACCACCCCGTTCCTTCTCCTGCACGTCGAACCGGAGCCCCGGTAACCCGTTAGATTCTCCGGGACTCCGAATCGACCTATCTTAGGGATACCTTACGATTTAGGAAAGGTTGATAAAACGGGAACTAGAATTATTACCTTAGCACCCAATAATAAGAGAATATGGTAACTTAATAGATGCGACAAACATAAAGGTCTTTGTTTACCAGTTAGTACATGTAATACATGAACTATGTCCTAAGTTATTTGAAGGCTTCACTTGAAACCTCCCAGGTATGCTTTACTAAGCGTCGGATAACTTTTAATTGCTTGGTAACAATTAACGGCCTATCTTGTCGCTCACCGATTTGTTAACTACTTGTACTTTAGTTAAATAGGTGTTAGTTGAAACTGTTTATAGATTTTATTATAGTATGTAAAGATTAAGTTGCTCTATGAGTTAATTCTTACCTATTTATTTATTTAAACTTATATGTACACAAAAATTAGTATAATGGTACCTATGTATATAAGGTGATCTTAATGCCATACTTTATTATGGCATTCTCATTGTGGTAATATTTATGATTGAGAATCAAAATTTAGTTATGAAAACAAAATTAAAGCATGTTATTATATTTTTTTATTAAGGATAAGTAACAGCAGTATATTAAACATAACAGAAGAATGAAGAAGTAAAATAATACATAATAGATTATATATTATATTAAATAATAGATTTAACAAATACACTACTCACAACGTTGTCACAGATTACTATAATTAACAATGTATAATATTTGGTAATGCAAGGAGTATGGAGTTTTGAATAGTAATAATTGATGACCAAAATCCGTGCAGTAGTTCAGCGTGATTGACGAACAAATATCAAAACAAAGAAACTTTCACATTTATAATATTAATGTAATAATATAATAAGCACTAGCGATAAAGTGCTTATTCTCATAAATACCTCTGACTACCTTTTTATAAAAAAGCATTCGAGATATTGATATTTAGAATAATATTAATTTTGCTATCATTTTTACTGTCATTCTATGCCGCTATGGTAACAGAATGAGAAAATTTTGCCACCATGCAACCACTTACTTGCATATGCAATGTATCCCTACATACATCGTATATGAAAATACAAAGAGCTACGGTAAATACGAAACTAAGTTTCAAATTCCTAAGCTGTTAGTCTTTTAGCATGTATATAAGGTAATTTATGACAGCAGCTTCACTCTAGCGGTTTAATTCTCGTCTAAATTCATTATGCTTAAACTAATTTAAATAGTTTGCCTAGACTGTTTCACTATTAAATATTTATATTACTTTTTCTTTATCTCCGAACTAAAGGCGGGAGGAAACTATAATTCTATACAGAAACATGTTTTATTATCTACCAGTTTATTCAACTAACTCATTCGACTATGCCGACTATAAACATGATAAACAGGGTACCTAATAAATCTAAAATTTATTCATAGGAAAATAATTTAATTTCGTATTCCTTCGAAGACTTATCAATTTACGTACCGTCACAATTAAACGAAGCATTTTTAAGGTAGGTACTTGGCAACTTTTGATAGAATTTAGCTGGAACAGTTTTCTTAGAAAATCAGGCAGAATTCTGTCTTTGTTTCAAGCTTGTGAATTACATTTTATTATGATGTACCTCCACATGCCGATATTAAATATTTATCTAAGAACATATATTCTTTTGATGACGGATACTTGAAATACCAGCCTTAGTATTTGTCCATCCAAGTATTTCCCTCGATCCCACATTTTTTACCCCAAATTATTCAAAGAACGAAGTAAGAATGCTTGTCAGAAATTCTTATCATTGACCATTGTCTAAGAGTGAGGTTCATAATCTTTTTTATATCATGTACCTATAGAAAATATTCGGCTGTATTCTGAGAAATGAAAATACTATTAGAATAATATTTTTGAATGACATTTTTCTGTTTTCTTTATATATTATTATGTGAATACTCTATATTCGTTGTATTCATTCATTTTAGAGACTTGTAAATAAACATATCGAACGTCCTTCAACTTCAATACACAATAATAAAAGATATATTTACAAAATCCCAGTCATTCTCATCTCAACATTTTTACACCGATTATAAGGGCCTTTCACAATGAAAGAATTATATATAGACCTTTAAGCAGCACTTTACTTGAAACGTGTGAGCATTTGCAATTTAAAGGTTTCAAAAATATCAAAGCGCAACACTTAGGCGTGACTAAAATACATTACGATGAATGTAAATACATACAAACCGTATTTCTTCACAATAAGACACATATTGAGATGTATAATGTATCTTCATTTATATTTTAACACCTATTTACTTTCCAAAAGCTTTTAATATTTTATGTGTCTGTCGATTCAGGTTATTAAATTTATCCTTTGATATAAAACCATCACCTTAATAGGTTTCACTTATATCGCGTCAATGACCTTTCTCTTAGTCATAGTAATCACCAATCGTTTGAACCTTCCATCTCAAGTAATTAAATTGCCAAATAGACAACAAGAAATTGATATTTAATATTATTTCTCTATCTATGAATACTAAAACCATTTTTAATACTGGCATAGTGACAGATTTTTAAGCTATCATTTTAAAGTTAGTGGGATATTTACAACGTTACTTTGATTTGAGTTCCCAATATTTCGACTCTGTTCGTCTATGACTGTGGCAAATCAGGATGGTATTTTTTTTATATGTTTGATGGGCCGACGTTTGACCACTATCTCGCCATATTATATCATCGTATTACTGCCAATTTCTATAACATATCGTTATCCAAAATATTTAGATTAAGATCGATTTTTGACAGAAACTCCGTACAACTACTGTCAATAATAGATCTATGTAGACAGATTTTGGATTAAGATAGTTTATTGAAATTGGCAGTTAGTCACCAAGTCATGTGACATATAACTGTAAACAACACTTATACCTCTATACCAAAACAGTCAGAGTTAAAAAACGTAATTGGTATTTCAAAAGTATTATCTTTCTACAAACTTCACCATGTTTCACATAAACAAAACAGAATAGAAAGAGGTTTTTAAAGTGTTTGCAGATTCATTATCTGTAGTCTGCCGATTTTGATTTCCCGTTCGTTGTATTTATTTATTTGCCAACAGTCGGCAGTTCGTTGTTGTACATTTATTTTGTTCATCCAACCGGTATAAGAACGGATGCTTTGTTAATCTGAATACATCTAAGTTTTATTTCGTATCTTAATATAATGGAGCCGATTTTCATATATGTATATTAGACAAAAATATTACTTTTTCTCTTTGGTAACTATATTTTTCTCTTATATCTTAGCAAATAATTTATAAAACGGTATTCTAAGTTTAAAATGCGGAGAGAAAAAACGATTGAATTCTGTATATTTAAAGTCATTCAAAGACTAATATTTTTGTCAAGAGAAGATATATTATATATTTGATAAGATGATTTTCGAATCGATTTACAAGCTTATAAATAAAAAGTTGAGGTTATCGTTAATTAGAATCATGGTAGAATTGATTACATTTCAACTAAATGAGAACCCCTGGGGACCCTGTAACTAGATCACATCCCATAACCGCGATATAATATTCGAAACCACTAATTAAATCAGTTGTGTTTACATTAATATGATTTATTAAATACTGTATAATATCAATACCTCTATATACTATGTCACTCATATCTCACTACATAGCGTTATAGTCATTTATCGATCCTCAATCTTATGAGTTTCAAGATAGTACAGGCAAGTGTTTTGAGCATAGTATAATCAATTTAATTGATATATGCCGGAATACTCAAACGTTACTCAGTTTTAAGTTGTGCTCAAATATCGTGCCATCTCTGTCATTTTACAGAGAATTTGTAGAGATAGAACTATACTTAAACACTT